TTTGATTTAATTTTGATTTAAAATAAAATGAAAAGACAATATTTTAGTCGTTTGCACAATACAGATAAGTTAGTACTTCATTTAATTGTTGGCAAGGTTATAAAAATTATAATTTTGTTATGCATAGCGATAATAAATTAAATACTTTAAACCTTAATAATATTTTTTTTATATAAATTGTATATAATCAATTATTATCATTGATAATAATGTTTTGAAAAATGTTTATGAAAAAAACAATTACAGCCCAATTAATGAGCCACATATTAAATACCTACGGAATCAGAATAAGCCACGCTCATTTTTGAAAAACTTTTCTTATTATCTTATGTCTACCCAAGAAGATGACGATGATTCTGAACGTTATAGTATTCAACCAGCTCAAATTTCTGATGACGGTTACTTAACAGTGTTTAAATGGATTTTGTGTGTAGTGATTTTGATACTATTAATATGCGCTATTGTCACAATCGTTTATTATTTTACTGAGGCCGATATTGTTAATGAATTTGATACTTCCAAGATTCCTTTTAAATATCAATTGAGTCTAAGAAATTTATACGCAATTAATGATCGATATGATTATATTATTACAAGTTATCCTGTTCAAGAATCCAACATTACTACTCTCGATGTTTCAAACAATAATTCTACGACAAATTCAACTTCAATTGAACTTGGACTTTTGATTTCTCGATCATTAAGACTCTTAACACCTGGCTATTATGAAGTTCAGGAAGACAGATACTTACCAAATGGTACAATATATCGTGTGGTAACTGCCATTGCATACTCAACTTGGTTTTACATTGCCTGGGGTCCACCAGTTACCATTAAATTCATTACTACTCCCACTGAAATCGCATATAATGAAACTGTATATTACAATAACCAAGACTTAATAACTTGTGAATACGAATTCTCTTGGACTTTCATCCTAAACGGTTATGTTAATCGAAAATGCGAGAATGAGTCTACGTTCAGTGTAATATCTTATGTTAAAGGATCAAACTTGTTTGGATTCACATTTTATAGTTATGATGAGAAAAAAGTTTACGCTCATACTACTATACCGGATTTAGCTGTTTGGGATTTCTTTAGAAGGTATTATTTTACTATTTATAATTCTTTTAAATTGATTTTATCTTTCTTTTTCAAATTTTATTATTATCCATAAACCTTAATAAGGAGTGTATTCATAGACCACAACGCTCCATTTCCATCTCTCATACCTGCTCTTTATACCGCTTATTATGATTGGATTGTTAATATGAGATCTACTTTTACCTTTAGGTGATTATACTTTATTGTCAAC